CAGGGTTTATTCTTTTGTAAATTGTTTATATGTTTTTTGTGTGTGATCCTATTGCTGCTTGTGTCCGTAATGTAGACATGGATTCCATATAAAGGCCAAACATCAAATGCAAGGCTATCAGAGAAAGGTCAGTGTTATTGGACTTCCAAGCTGAGTATCATGTGACGGAATTGTTAATAACGCATCTCTGACTTCTAATCTTGTGTGCTTTCCATTTCTAGATAGGAATCTTTATACTATAAGGGCAGTTCCATTCACAGATGTGAGGTCCATCCGTCGACACACCCCTGCACTTGGGTGGCAGTACATAATTGTTGTTTTGTCATCTGGTAAGCAAACATAAAAGTATCTTGCTCGTGGTTTATGCTTAGAGATTGTCACTAAGATGATTTTTGAGGTTATTATTATAGTACTTTTTAATAATTTTATTTTTGAAGTGTTTTTTTTTTTTTGGATGAGAAGTTTTCTGGGGTGTTTTGGTGAATGCATATACTACAGGAATGCTGCATTTTAAATTGGCCATTGTTGGACAATCATTGATTTTCCATATACTTAACAAATGAAATTTGTACAGCCTATGTTTCATAACAACCTATTAATGTCATGCTAGGTAATATCTTGTCTTTGAGGTGATGGCACATAGGCACAGCAATAATTTACTATTTAAGAATTATATTATTTAGGTTATCTTTTTTCCTAGTTTATTTATATTTCTTTTCCAATCTTTATTAGAATTAGTAGTTCTAATTTTACTAGTGTAAGTATTTCTTAGCCTAATCGTGAAAGAATTAATTGGCACTGTATGGATATCTTTTCATCTCCTTCAAGATCATCATCCTAGTACTTATTAAAATACTTTGAGCAAAACCATTGATTGTGTGATTCAATCAAATTTTACGTTTGATACCAAAGAACAATAGGTTTCATATCTAGATTTTCTCCTAAATTCCCAAGGCAGCACATTAAAGTCTAATTTGCTCTACATCATAAAGTGCTATAGTTGTTAAGTTATTCTGTTAGGTATTCATGAAATTCTTGCTTGTTAAGGGCTTAGAGGGAATTTCTGCTAGAACCAATTCAATTATTCTTAACATGGGTAAAGTGGTAGTAAAAGTAGCTTGTACTTTTGAGTGGTGAATGGTTTTGCTCTTTGGCTTGCTTGGTTCAAAGTACTAATTCCTTAGAATAGGAGACATGGGAGACGATATAAATGAGATGGATTGTGGGACAAAATATTATTCTAATACCATTTTTCAGTTCAAGTTAGTTAAATTTGTAAGTCATAGCTAGCAAAGTAGTAAGAGCAATTTGTTGTCCATTTTGACTAAAACTTTTTGTTTTTATGTTGTCATTCCCAGCAAGAGCTGATTATTATTTGCTTCTATTAGCTAAATTTAGCTTTTGTAGTTCATCTCTTTTTACATTTTCAAATTCAGAATTTTCTTTTTTCTTGATATAAAAGTAAATCCCCATTTTTTTCCTGTCTGCCACTGAAGGAGCCTTATTTTTCTTTTTCCTCTCTCTCTATTTTGGCAGGACTTGCATATCCCCCTCTCTACTTCTATAATGGAGGAGTCAGAGAGTTCCTCGCTGCTGTTAAGCAACATGTTTTTCTTGTGAGGTTGGTTTTTTGCTTAATGTGGTTATTCCTTATTACACACATGCACACACCATATGTAAGGGATGCAGTCTACTAAGATGCTGTTGCCCATCTTTCTTTAATTTTGACACTTTTAAAAAATTTAACAATGAGTTGGAATGAGTCTATTTTGAACTTTGAAACACATTATTAAGAGCATATTAGAGATATATTGGGCAGTTTGACTTGTTTGAAAATGTATGTGATGCCTTGTCATCGTTGATCTGAGATAAAAATACAATGGAAGGAGAGATGTATAATAAATAGATGTGATGTTCTTACATATAAGAACTGGGTTTAATGTGTTTGTTACCTCGTCAGTGTAATATAAAAAAAAATGTTGTGCCATTTTATGTAAATTTATGTCTACTTATTATTTCTTTAAAAAAAAAATCACATTGTACATTTTTTTCGGGTTTCTGAAATCTGTTTACATTGTTTTTCAGGTCATCAGAAGATACAAATGTATTTCTTGTGAATGATTTTGAAAATCCTTTGCAGGTGAGCTTCATACTGTTAATAGCCTAAACTTCTTTCTTTAATTGCTGGATTGCTGGCTTGTTGCATGACAGTTGTCTCTAGCAATTACTGCTTGGACCAGGATATTGATAGTTATTATGTTGAAATATGGGTACTTTAAGTTGCTTGATATGTTATGAATTTAATTTATCTCAAATGAAATTCTAACAAACTTGCTTCCCCTAATCGCTTGCCTTGATTATCCATAAATGATATATTAGGATTTGGTCTCTACAGATTTAGGAATTTGCTTTTTGGCTGATTATCTGTCCCATAAATTATTGTTGAAATAAATAATAGCTCTATCTACAACATGAAAAGAATGAGATAAACCTATTTAAATTTTTTATGAGATGGCAATTGTCCATCATCTACTATTTTGTACGTACATTGCTAAATTTCTTATTGTTATGGAAGTTGAAGATACAACAGGTGTTAGGGGGATTTTTATTGAAGAGCGAACTCTATCAGAAAGTTGTCAACTTAACATAGACTGATGCTTCTATGGATTTTTATTGAGTACATTATTTCTGAGAAGTATATAATCAGATACAAGAAAGGCAAGATGGTAGAATATCAAGCATGGCATGTGCAGCATAGCTTTTATTTTTATGTATATATTTTTAAAATTTTGAGTTCTATTGACGCCATTTTGGTGTGGGCTTGAGGGATGAATTGCAAGTGCTTGTTTCTTGCATGTTAGAATTCACTTGATTGAGATAATTTAAATTGCTACTTTTTTTATGTTTTGCTGCCATTTGCTATAAACAGAGAACTTTGTCTTCTTTGGAGCTGCCTAGGACACTTTCAGTTGCAAGTGGGCCTTCCGGGTCTGTTTCAGCTGAGGAGTCTTTTTCTCATGGAAGTCATGAGGGGAATGATGAGGGTGTCAGTGATGGTAGTTATAGAATTTCCCACTACAGTGGGAGGCAAAGGCCAAAAATTCATGATCCTGCTCGTGATCTTTCAATTCACGTGCTGGAGAAATTTTCTCTTGTGACCAAATTTGCCCGGGAAACAACTTCGCAATTATTTCGTGAAAACAATGGTTTTGGTGCTGTTGAAAGGAGACACAGTCACCGATCTGACTTTGATTACTCTCATAAGGTTACCAATGATGTAGAGAAACTTCCTGATGAAATTCCTGTACCGTCAGATCCTCTGGAGGTAACAATATGCTTCCTTTTGGCAGTTTTAGGCCATTATATCTTGGGGAACACTTCTTTATAAAATTTGAAGGCCCAGTAAATTCAATGTGGTTGTGTGTCTTGCTATTTATTTCCCTGAAATGGTAAAAAGTCTAATTATGGAATGGAAGATTATCGTTGTTACTTGATCAGAATATTTACTGTCACATTTACTCCGGCATCATTACTCTATTTCTAGACTGAATCAGAGTTTTGATATGAGTTAGCACTTCTGCAGATTTGCAGTTTATGAGAACTCTTTATCTGACTTGGTGCTGGTTTAATGATTTATGATATTTGTCTTCTATAATATGCAT